AATATATATTAGTCGATAAATATAATTTTTAAGAATTGAAGAAAATACCTAAATGATGTACAAAATGTGAAATAGTATCCACATTACGAATTGTTGCTGCAATAATGACATATCTGTCATTGAAGGATAAAAAATTTTTTAATCCTAATACTAATGCATAGAATGAATCTGCATCATATAGAATATCAGCCCCAATTATTATATCAGGTATAATCCATTGTTCATTTATATATTTATTAATATCTTCCCATCTTAACTCCATTACTTTAACATCTGTATGATTATGTGTTATTTGCAGTTTTAATCTATTATGATTTAACTGTGCTGGTACATTCCCCTTATATAATAAATTAAGTTTAACATTCTCAGAAACCATTTCAAGTACAGTTTTATGACAATCTGTAAATATATATTGTTTGGGAGAACAGTTTTTAATAATGCATAATCCTGTTAATCCAACTCCACAACCAAGTTCTAAAATTACTTTTTTGCAGAATTTATTTTTATTTTCTATGCACCATTTACTTAATTCAATAGCACCCTACAAATTATAAATAACATTATGACAGAAAAATATGAAAATAATATCCACTAATTCTATTAAAGTACCTGCCAACTACATAATCCTGTTGTACCTTCCGATATAATATTTGTACTTTCTTGTATACTAATGCAATCATTTTGTATTAAAAAGTGTCGATAATGAATGGATTCATCTAGTGAAGCAGATATTAATTTACAATATGCAGTATAAATGCTATCATATATTTCACCACCTCCTTCTTCAATCTAAATTATAAAATATTAAATTTCAAAGATGAATACCATTTTCTTGCATATTAATTTGTTTGTACCTTACTCATGAACCATTTTAAAAATGCTCTTTGATAGGATTGTTTTACAGGATATTTTTTAATTAAATCACTATTTACTGTGTTTTGTAAAATCTCCTGTTGTTTTTCAAAATTAATAAAGTAGTTAATACTTTGTTTAGGAACCTAAAATGGATGTGCAATTTTTAGTTCTATTTAAGGAATACACTAAAGATGAAATGTAAAATTTACGTACAAATATATCAATTGTATTTATTGGTGTACAGCAGAGGAAATACTTAATTATATTATTTATATCA